AAGCCCAGTGGGGAAATGGAATATTTGGGCCCCCACTACGGTCTTTGACCAGTCACACGTTTGTATGATTGAATACCATTACTCTACTTCAGTCAGTGTCAATCAACGGCATTTCGCACAGATATTGAATGCATGACGCATCGAAACGAAGGTGGATCGCACCCGTACTCGTGAACATGATTTTTGAGGCAAAAATTTTTCAGACATGCGAGGACGCAGGTGGTGAGCAGTTCTGCTTAGGCCCGAAGCATGCAGGAATGTGTAATAATCCAGACTTCTACAACATCGCGGAGACCTACTGCTCCAAGACATGTGGGATTTGTACACAATGGTGATCATCTGAAAGGGAATGATGAAAATAAAATTTTCTGATTATTTTGCTTTTCTCTGCATCGTTATTAGTCTCAATTCATATACTTCCGCACAGAAGAAGCCGGTAAAAAAATCGTACGCGATGGGCTGAGTAGTGGCAAGTGATGCACTATCACACACGCATGGTCACGGGCTCGAATCACGGATCGATATCCGGCGTGCCAGGCGAGGTAGTGGATCTTTGAACAACTAGGAGATGAACGCAGCACTCGAAATTTGATGAACTAAGATTATTCTAAGCCATAGAAGGCGTCATGAATATCACTAACTACCGTAGAATAGCTTTATTGAAGAAACTCGGAAAGGTAATTGAATTCTCTCGCTAATTGCACCACTCTTTGCAACCGTTAACAACAATGTACCTCTAATTTCTCCATATGTTTCGGAGCTATCCAACAAACTCATGAAGGCACGGTTTACGATAAGAACGGTTTCTGGTTCTCCCTTCAGTGTACTGAATACCCACAGGCCCCCAAGGGTAACAGAAGGGACCCTCTCGCGCTCAAAAACTCATGAGCTAGGGCATAGTGAGAGCTCCATTACCGCAAATCGCCCGGACTTCCCGACCCTCCACCGATGTCACGTCAGACGAGTGTCAAGGCGATACAGATTGCAAATTTCCCCTCTAGGACTCACCCGCAATCAGCTCATCCCCAAGTAATGAGGCGATCTTTCCCTCCTATTCTTTTGTTCTCTGTTATTCTTTTTGTTGTTGCGATCCCTTATTTGATTCTCTACCCGAGAGGCTGAAAAAGTTGAGCTATTTTTGCTGTTACTATTTTTTTTTGTTAAGTTTGCTTATGAGTGAATGATTTTTCGCCTACCGTAGTCAGGTCTTCGCACCAGAACCCATACGTACGCACCGACACACATCGTATAGCTCGTCCAAACGCCCCATTCTTCCTCATTTTTCTGGTCCCTCCCTCTTTCAGCCCCATTTTAAAACTTTTTTCGAAACCAAACACCTATTCACGCAGTTTTTTCGCCTTCATCGCACTATATTAAATTTCATATTCCATCTTTCGTCATAGTCTGGATTGCCCAGAATTATGTTGAACTGTGCCTTTGAGTGTACTCGTATATTTGTAACAAATCGTATATATTTGCAAAAATAAGTAAATAAATAACTCCGCATGGAACTTGAACACGCAGAACTCAGTAGCATCTGTCCTTGGAGTCTTCCTTTCCCATTACTTCACCTCCATACTCAACCGCCGGCCAAGGAACTAACTTCATCTTTCAACTTCTTCTATCTAACTTTAACTTTATCTTTCATATATTACTTATACAGGAATGTCAAAATTTCAAAGTTCGGTTATATAAAATTTCATTTGTTCAAAACTTTTTTACGCCCTCTACTTTTTTACTTTTTCATTTGCTTACCTTTCACACATTTGATGACTCGGAGCAGCATTATGGCGCTTATGTTCTCGGCTCTAGTTAGGGTCGCTCTGCTCCTAGGTGCAATAATTGGATTGCCCTAACCAAGTTCCCACACCGTTTCAGCCGCAGTCGCGAAATTCTGTAAGCATCTGCAACTTTCTTGAACGTTCTTAGGACCAAGTTCTTCTCCACTTTATCGAAGGGGTTGACGACAGGATCTGTTGGATCGAGTGTGTATCAGTCTGATCTGAATTATTCTTGAATCTTAGACTGTCTATATCTGGTAGTCCTGACAGTTCACCATATCCACTTCAATGCTGTATCTCTACCCGAGAGAAGTTTGAAGGAAAGTAGCAATAAGGGTGCGCAAAACAATTCCGCGGTCTACCAGGTTGTCTCAGAAGTTCTTGCCCTGAATGTGAATGAGTACTTGAGATAAGTACTCATTCACATAAAACCGATAAGCAGCTTCAACTGTGGGGTTTGTCGCTGTTTTGTGCATATGCCTCACATCCGAAACGCCACGAATTTAGCCGCGTGCATCTCCGAACGCACCAGTGTACCCGCCGGCTGGCAGACTATGAAAGCAGCTATACCGAATGTGAGTACATTCGTGCGGTTAGAACTGCGCGCGGAGGAATTCGAACGACTGTGGCACCCGTAATTATGAGCCAAATTTGAAGTAGAGTAGATTAGTATTAGGTTGTAAGGAAAGGTCTGGCCGTTCCCACGCACGCGCCATATGAATTCAAATTTTAGCGGTTGTCCATTCAGACTAATCGACATATTGTGTTTCTTAGATAAGTCATTAGTTGCTCTTTCTGTCATAACGCTTTCCCAAAGTCTGTGAGGTTTTGGAATCCTTAGGAAGTTTTTTTGGCAGAATGGATAAGACTGCTTTTTGAACGGTTTTACTTCACGAGTTCAAACTTGGTCGAAACGCGAAGGATGCAGCCACAAACATCAACGTGGTATGGGGAGATGGCACTGCATCGGAGCGAACGGTTAGTCGCTGATTTTAGAAGTCTAGAAGTGGAGACGAGTCAGT